CAAAATGACTAAATTCACAAGATATAGTAAACCAGTATTAAACAAACCACATTACAGTTTAGCATGTTGAGTGAATTCATCTATTGTACACAGAGCTCTGTCCTCATTTTGATGTTTCATTTGATTGCTATCAGATTAATCTGAATTCATTGAGCAAGCTAAAAACTATTTAGCTAGCTGAGCCTGTTCAATCTGGTTTACTTTGGATGTGTTGGAGTACAATTCAAATTCCCAACTCTTATGCTGGCTGGTAATTCTGAGAATTATGAATCAAATTCTGCTGGAGACACAAGGGAAAAAGTGATTTACGTTCTTTAGCTGGTATACACTGTTCACTAATAGCATGAAGATTGTGTTTTGTTTTATTATAGCACTGTACCTTACTTGGTTATATTTGCAGTAACAAATTGGAGGTACAATTGTTTTTTCTTTGTGTATAAAGTACCTTCCATATAAGGATAATATAATTTGTGAAGGCACCCTTCATGAATGATCTTGTCCATTAATCCATGCAAGAATTAACATGGTTGCTGCTGGAAGGCACAATTTGGATGCTGAAGGTTAATACAGTATATATATATTTTTAACCTAAAAGCACTACAATTGAAGTATATTTTTTGAAGTAGCCTCCAGAAAAGGAAAGAAACTGGTATGATCAACAAAGGTTCACAAATAATCAAATTCTATTGATCAAACCAGCATTTGTTTTTTTTATTTCTGTGATCAAACAACTACTGAAAAGTTATTTCCTTAAAAATAAGAATCAGCTTTCTTTATCTTAAATAAAGTTCTCAGTTTATTGCCTAAGTTTTGACAACAGGATAGAATAAAATATTGTTGTTTGGTTTAGGGTTTAGTGTATGTGAACCTATGCAATTTAATTCATCTAGTTAACCATTGGGTAGCATTTAGGCCCATATACATTATGTGCAATTTTAATCAAAAAGGATTAATATTCTAACAACATTCCTCTGTTACATTGAGCATAATTACATAGCATTTAAATATAATACATTATTTGAAAAGAATATTTGATTTGCAGAGTAAAATGTACTCTTGTGAAGTGTGACATTCATATTATAAAATTGGCAAGCAAAGGCATTTATGCTGTTAACACTCTTCTGTTTAGGAACTATTAGTACAAGAGGGCTGCTAACATTTTTAGACTATCAGTATTCCACTCTCCTCTTGGAAGGATAAATGGAAAAAGTTATGCAAGGTAGACATGAGAAATAAAATAATATTTTTTAAAAAATTAGGCCTCTGGCTACTCTTGAATTGGCTTCTCTATTCAGATTTCTAGATAATGGCAAACAAGTGAGTTGCATTCCATCTTTAGCCTATTTGCATGTGCCTTGAACTGAAAGCCACTGGTATTTTTACAATGAAGGAATGCAAAATGTTAGCTTTGGATGTAACTTTAACTTGTGTGCACATAATGGACACTACTACAACATAGTTTTCTTAACTATGCACAATTGGATTAGGAAGGGGCAGTTTGCCTTCTTCATCAGTATAGTAGCCCAGGTGTCAAACTTGATCGTGTCATGTGATGTATCGTGATTTTTATTTTTATTTTTTGCCTTTGTGGAGCAGGGCTGGGCGTGGCAGGCCAGCTAGATGATTTGTCAGGAGTTGAATCCTATGTTCTACAATAGAAATTATTAAAAAACGTTTTATATAGTTTGTCAGTCTGGTTGTCTGTACTTACTGGTAATTCTTTTTAAGAGTTTCAGTCTCAACCTTTCTTAGGATTAAAAATTGGATTACATTTTTACCTAAGAGCAGATAAGATGTGACCTCAATATGGAGGAAATTGCTATCTGTTCTTTACCATGTTTAAGATCACTTTATAGCACAGCTGTAACTCATGAACAAAATAATGCATACCAGTTGAGATGGTATAGCCAGGGCTTCTGGGGGAACCTGAGAGTTGATATCTAAGATGAGATTTTCCTTGTGAGGCCTCTTCCCAGTATCTGATCCAGAGTAGCTCCCTAGTTTTCAGAGGAAGTAGAAAAAAATGGAGTGAAAAGACACGTAACCAATCATGGTATAAAAGTGAATATGGGCTCTTGCCTGTCCAGAGGCAATATGAGTGAGTAGTGAAATGTGTATTTCTCCAATTTCCTTATATCTTCACAAGTACTTATCATTATTTCTGAAGCCTACATTAAATATTGTCTTATCTAGAAAGCTGCTGATCATTCAGTAGTAAGAGAGGGGGTGAAGAGAAAGACTCTTGTGCAATAATGCTGAGAAATTTACCCAAGGCCAAGTAGACAAATGGTATACAGGAAAAAAAAGCATACACCGGAATCTTTGAAGATAAGATTTGCTTGAATAGTTTCACTTTCCACAGGAACATGCAGAAAAATAGTTAAGATTCAGTCTGAAGTTCGGAGCCAAGAAAGGTTCATCCGTCAATTTATAAGCCAGTTTCAGGTTCCTTATATGAGTAGAGGGCAATGACATGCAAGGCACAGGAATCAGACAGTTGTTTCTAACGAGGAAATATGGTACCAATAGAAGAGTGTATATTAACTCAGGGTTGAACTATGGAGTCCTGGGTGCCCTCTGAAATTGGTTGTTTGCTTGCAGACATTTCATTACTGATTATGTTACCTAGTTGGGTAATGAAACATATGCATGTGAAGTTCAGAAGGTATGAAGGACTCCAAAAGAGATGGGGATCAGAGCTGCCTCTTAAATAAGACTGCAGCCAACTGTTTTTAGTTAAGACAGGCATGTCTTGCTTGGCAAGGAGCCTCATGGAGCACTTTGCTCTCCACTCTGATCACCATGTCTGAGGACTAGGAGGCCTTATTTCATCTTGTAATTCCTCCAGATGTTCTGATGCTGCCTGTATTTGATCAGCCTCCGGTAATTCCTGCCGTGATATCAGCTGAGTCTGATCAAACACAGCCTCTCTTGAGGCTGGCATTCCAATTTAATGGCAGAATGTCTTCAAATGCTGAGTCATCTGAGCTCTGGGTCATGACACTACATTTGTGAAGATGGCAGGGACCAGAACATAGACATTCTCTGGTTGCTCTGATGCAGCAGTATAAGAGGACTTTGATCTTTTGCTTGGGATTTCAGAAGACTCTAGGTACTTCTTTTAAAGGGGATGCTAGACAATCCAGAGGTATCTGAATAATTATTTTTAAATGAGTTTTTTATGATGAGTTTTAAGTTTGTTGGCAACTTATCTAATAAACAACTTAGCCCAAGTAGCAAGAAACCAGGGAAGAAGCTTTTCAAATCATTCAAAGATATTCCATCTTATCAGACTCACTCACCGTAAATGAAAATGAGAAATTCCTCTTACAATTTCCAAGATTCAATATTTACCCCAGACTTACATTAAAGGTACTCTCTTGACATCTGTGTAGATTTTGCTTACTTGATTTTGTCCAGCAGCTTGAAACTTACTAGGACTGTCAATTTTGTTTATTCTGATGATAAATTTTAATATTGATCCTTTTAGATTGTACACAGTCCAGAATTCTGTGGGAGGACACAACAATATTGAAAGTGTGTTCAATAAATAAACAATAAACATGAAACTTTATGCTTATTAAGGATAACTCCCCCCCCCCCGGTATTGGAAACAGCAATATGAACATATTGTCATGAATTGCAATGGAGTTTGTAATGAGAATATTTTTCAATAAAGATGAAGAATTTATATGCAACTACAAATTTTGTATACAAACTAGTTTATCTTGCTTTCATGTTATTTAGTTCGCTCTTGCAAAATCACTGGAACTATCAAGCAATATAAAGCATATTATCTAATGGAAGCAAGATAGTTTAGTCTATTTCACATCTTAGTCTAGGAGAGATGACTGAGACAGACCTACATTCCACCTATGGAAATCCTCATGGAAACAGGAATTATTGGTATTTCCTGATTAATATAAATCTGCTCAAAGAAGTAGTATTTAGAAGGAAAAATATATAATGTCTCCTGCACTTGCCAGGCCTTCCCTGGAATCCTTTCTAGGCTGTTTTTCTTTCCCCTGCAGCTGAGTCTCTTCTGATCTCAAAGCACAGTGGGACGACCAGGCATAGCCACAGCACAATTGCAGCTGAAAATCCATGGATGTTACAAGAGTTAAACACCTTCTCTCTATCTCTTCCCCCGGAAATGCCTTCTGATATCCACATTAGTATTGTGAGACAAGCACAGGTCAGAATTCTGAAATATAATTCTGACTTCATACAAATTATTTATAAAAATGTCAGTTTATTGTGTAGAAACCTGTGGACTTTAAACATACTTCTGAATAATGTTGATACAAATAAAGTTGCAATAAAAATGGAGTGATAGTTCACTAACCCAGCTCTGGACTGATAGAGTTCCAGGTAATGATGCAGTTTTGTCATAAAGGTATTATATAGTATTTGACCAATAATGTGCTTATTTTTCATTGCTTTGGTAACCCATTCAAATTGTAAAAGTAACTGTTAAAACCACAGAGAGAACAAGAAAAGGAAGAGAAAGTAATTTTCTTAAAATGATATTTTTGATTTGGCATTAAGCAATTATTACTGTCACAAAATGAATGTAGGTAGAAAATAACAGATCTTGAGACTTGGCAAGGAGACATGCTTCCTCCAAAGTATTCTTTAAAGTAGTTTTAATGCTAGGAATGCTGAAGAATACCAGATATTTCTCATGATATCAGTAATTTAAGAAATTCAACTATTTTTTAACTCAGCAAATTTAGTTACCCAAATTATTATTATATCTCAAAGTTATTTTTGTAATATCTCTGCATTTTAAATTGCTTCTAAGATTGTTGCTATTGTAACAGTACCTGTTTAATTTATGATTATCTTGATAAAGAGCAGAAATTAAGTCTACAAAAGCTAAACTTCAGTGGATTAGATTTAAATTTAAGTTTGTTTGGTAAGTATCAGGATTTTTTTGTAGCTTGAAATATATTCATAAAGTTAAACAAAATGATAAGGCATTTGTTTCTACATTGCAGGGAACTTTTGGACATGACTTGTCGCCTTGCTAATACCTTAAAAAGAAATGGTATAAAAAAGGGAGACCGAGTTGCGATCTATATGTCTGTATCTCCAATGGCAGTGACTGCCATGTTAGCTTGTGCCAGAATTGGTGCTGTTCATACAGTTGTTTTTGCTGGATTCAGTGCAGAATCTTTAGCAGGAAGAATAAATGATGGTGAGTAATTTTTAGAGGGGGAAATCCTTTTCAGACAATCTCATGGATTGTTTGGTTATTGCAGGGGAAATGCAATTTTTTCATTAGAAAATCAACATATCTATAATATAGGATTTGTTGAACTCTGAGAATTTGTTGTAAGCAAGGAATCTTCATAAGCTGTTACATGCTGTTCTACTTTCATAACTATATTTAGCAGAAAAACAATCCTGAACATTTCATTACTATATAGGCTCTATTGCCTTACAATATATTATGTGCTGTTTATTTTTATTTATTAGATTATGATGCAAAACAGAGGAATAGATTAAAATTTTCTGTCTCTATAATTGTTTTTTCTTCCTAGCTAAATGTAAAGCAGTGATCACCTGTAACCAGGGAATCAGAGGAGGACGGATCCTAGAACTGAAAAACACCGTGGATGAAGCTGTAAAGAATTGTCCAAGTGTCAAGTGTGTTTTTGTAGCCCAGAGAACTGACAACAAAACCCCTACATGCAGTCATGATATTCTCCTTGAAGAAGTATGTTCATTGTGCTCATAATACTGATTCTTGGAGACTGCCTGAAAAGGTCCCTGTAGTTTCCTTGTAGTTTTCCTGTAGTAGCCCGGAGAACTGACAACAAAATCCATACATGCAGTCATGATATTCTTCTTGAAGAAGTATGTTCATTGTATTCATAATCTCTGGTTATTGGAGACTGCCTGAAAAAGTCCCTGTAGTTTTCTTGGCAAAACCATTTTTCAAAATGGTTTGCCATTGCCTTCTTTCTAGTGCTGAGAAAAAACAAGTGACCCAAGATCACCCAGCTGGCTTTGTGCCTAAGGCAGGACTAGAATTTAGTCTCATGGTTTCTAGCCTACCTTAATCTCTGTACTAAAGTGATTCTTTAGTCTAGTCCAATAAAGTATCATTTCAGTAAAACTTGTCCGGACTGATTCCTGAATTTCCTACCTCAAAGGGTTGACATCAATCTTGCAAGCCTGCCTGTGTTTTCCATTCCTTTCCTCTTTTAGTCTAGTAAATTTGAGTGGAGCTGATCTTAGCTTTCTAATAACTTAAGGGGTGCTTTGGTTTTTGTAACTATTTCTATATATTTTTCCAAGGTAATGTCTATGGTTTTATACAGATAGAGAATTAAGGTTCCCTCATCTACCACTCTACCTGGTCTTGTTTAAAAGATTGCTAAGCTGAAGTCACTTCCTTCTGTTTTTCTTCCCAAACAGTATCACACACAAAAGGTCCAACTCTTTTGACTTTCTCTTGGCAAAATGTAGCTAGTTAGGTACAGGGCTTTGTTTACCTTTGTTGTGTGTTTTCATTAAATAAATCTCATTTTTGTTAGAGTCATAATATTTACTTTAGGAAAGTAAAAATATATTAAATTACTATTCTCAGGAATGCTCCTGTGCAGATAGGAATCTTCCACCAACAACAGTTGCAAATTTATTTCCTAAAAATTCTCCATGAAGAAATAATAAGCAGAAATTTAAATTACTATAAAAAGCAGAGAATGCAGTTGAAATCATTCTGCAGCAAAAGAGTATTTGTTGCCTGAAATTTGTATAAATAGTCAGCAAAATTGGAAGAATGTCATGAATGAAATGGAGAGGACATGGACGATATCTATAAAAGACACTCATGGCAATGATTCTAGGAGAAGTATTGAATTCAGTATTCCTAAAAATCTAATTTATACCATTCAAGGCATGGAACCTGAATTTTAAACTGACTTTTCAAATAATAATAATAGCCTTTGATGCTTTAAATGCCAAAATTGCATCACATACTTGTTATTTCTTTGTGAAATGTGAAAAAAAATGAAGAAGGAAAACATACTTCTGCTATATATTTGAGAATATTTAATATACTATTGCTCCACTTTTCATTTAATTGTTGATTTAAAAAATGTTTTTTTAGGAGATGGCTAAGGAAGCATTGGTTTGCCCCCCTGAAATTATGGACAGTGAGGATATGCTTTTTATGCTTTACACTTCAGGAAGCACAGGAAAACCTAAAGGAATTGTTCATACTCAGGCTGGCTATCTGCTTTATGCTGCTGTAACACATAAGGTACCCGTAGAATCTTTAGAGTTTTATTGTTTTACTTTAATATTTTCAATAGTGTGAAATCAGGTTGATGAAGAATTTTGATAGCGTTGGAAATTTTGAACATGATGTGAAGTGAAAAAAAAAGATTTCTTAACTAGTGTGAAATTTGTTATGACTATGCAATGATCTAGATTTGAGGAGAAAAGGGTGGTGCAGAATACAAAGGTGTTCACAAAGTATCTATCGGCAATTTATTAAAAAAGCTGCATATCTGGAAAAGATACATTTTTTAAAATCACATCGTCTGTCACATTTCCCCCCTTTGAATTTGGATTACTGAAGAGCCCTCAAAATTATATATATGCAGATTTGATAAAAAACAGACTTCTCAGGCAGACCTTTAAATTTAATTTTGGAATGCTACATTTTAAAAAATAGGGCTATTGGGCCAAATTTCAAGGCAAATGTACCTGTTGACAAGGTTGGTTAATTATACCCTCAGTGTGTCTCATAATAGTTTTTTATATATACTTTACTATTAAAAGAAATAAAATAAATAAATAAATATAAATTGGAAGAATGTTATTTGAAATTGCTCTCATTTTATGAAATGACAGGGAGCAAAATCTCTGTTTATTCTTTAATTAGAGGTGGAGTAAATTTTCTCATACGACTTAAATTCTGAAACCATGACTGGAAGCCATAAAAAGTTATTTGCCTGAATTTGTGATCATTTCTTCACACAAGAATAATAACATATTGATTACTGTCAAGTATTTCTTGATCATAATAATTTTTCATTAGTATATACTGATTCTAACTAGCTATATTGTCTTTGTAGCATGTTTTTGGCCTCAAACAAGATGACATTTTTGGTTGTGTAGCAGATATTGGTTGGATCACAGGACACAGCTATGTTGTTTATGGACCACTTTGCAACGGAAGCACCACAGTTTTGTTTGAAAGTACTCCTGTTTATCCAGATCCAGGTAGACATTTAAAATATAATATATAAAAACAGCAGTGGACCTAAGGAAGGGCAATTAGTTATGATACAATCATTTCTTTCTTGTGAAGATTTAAAGGTTAATCACTTGCTTGCTTATATAGGGCTAGTTTGGTCCAGTGGTTAACGTATCAGACTAAAATTCAGGAGACTATGAACTCTAGTTCCACCTTAGGCATTGTAGAAAGTTAGCACTCACCCCTCTCCTAGAAGAATGAAATATTTTAGGAAATATTGAAAAGGCAAAATATTTCCCCTAAAAGAGAAATAAAAATCTTAAAGGAAACAGAAACTAATCCCCAGCTCTCTGCCTCCAGCAGATATTTTGGTGCTAGTTTATCTACAAGATAAAAGACCTGAGCTCCAGGCTGATGAGATTAAGACATGACCCTCAGGACATAATAGGATTAGCCCTCTACCCATTTAGCAACAGAGCTCACCACATGGCTGGGGATATTATATCAGCCCAAGGTTCAACCAACCTTAATTCAGACAAACATGACTCCACATAGAAGTCTGCAACCAATAGGATATATGCCCTTGCCACAGGAACAGGAAGCTCAAGGTCAAAGCCCAAGAGAAGGTATAAATAACACTCACTCTCCACTTCATGTGGTCAGCTACCCAGGACTTCAAACACATGTGGTCCTGTTCACCATTAAACCATCCTTCCAATCAGCCTCCATGTTTCCAGTGTCTTTCTTCCCACTTGAAACTGAACCCAGATGGACATTTCTTCCCACAGCATGAAAGCCAGTTTGGTAATTTTGGGACAGTCACTCTTTCTCAGCCAATTCATTTCACAGGGTTGTTGTGGAAAAAATAAGAGGAAGGTGTATGTTCAATTCCTTGAGTTATTTATAAAAATAATAAAGGTGAGATTAAAAGTGTAAAAAAATAATAATTCCTGCCTGCAACCTTAGATTACTGTTATCAGTAAGCAAACCTGCATATGTATTGGTTACTTTCTTGACCAGGTTTAGATTATTTTATCTGACTGTTGGTTTGATAGCAGCTGTTCCTCATTTCAAAGCCATTCCCTCTGCCCTCTATATTAGGGTTCCTTAAACCTCTTAGGCAGGTCAAGGGAAAGAGACTTCTGGCTGGCTGGAGAATTACTAAAAATTGCATCTCTCCCTAATTTGCTAATAGAAGACTTTGCTGTGTCAAATAATACAGGTAGTTCTCGACTTACAACCATTTGTTCAATGACTGAAGTTTTAATTGCTGCACCTACTATACCTGCCCCTCCCCCCATCTATGCCCACTTGGCTCCCTGCTCTCCGAGCTGCTAACTTCTGCTATCTTCTTGATGTTGCTGCTGCTGACAAGACATGCCTGGTCTGGCTGCTGGCTGTGCTGTGCTTTTGCTGCAGGAGGAAAGAAAAAAAAGCCAAAAGCAGCCTCAGAGCTTGGAAGCCAAAAAAAATCACTTTGCGCTGCACACAAAAAAGTGAAAAACAACCCCAGATCTGCATTGCACCAAAAAGTCCTTTGTGGTTTGTTTGCTTTTTTCCCTTTCTCTCAGCACAAAGGGGTTTTTGATGTCATGGCTGTTTTTGGCCGTCTTTATTTAGTAACGTGAAAGGGATTTTGCTATTGCTCTGTGACTACTTTTTGATTTGTTTTTGCCTTCTCCAGTCTGATGTTTTCAGCTGTATTAGATGGCAGTGCCATTTTTGGCTTTCCAAAGCCTTTCTTTCACTATGCAGCAGTGGATCAGTTATTTTTCATGACTAAAAATGGAAAGTATGGATGGTCAAAGTCGGCCAGGATACAGCAAATTGTTATGGATTTGCAAATAGCAAGTAGAAAACAGCACAAACTATTTTCAATTGAAGCTGTACTGGAAAGATAACATGCAAGGCCCAAAGAGTAAATTCTAGTCTTAAGAGTTGTATTGTACACAACAAACTAAATACCTTATTGCTAGACTTTTTTAAAAATATAAATGAAATGCCAACAGTCCTTATATGGGTCTGATTACAGAGCTGTGTCATCCTTATATAGATTAGTAGATTTTCAGGCCTAAAGTCTGGATTATACAGAATGTTTAAGATATATTGATTTATTTCAGCAACTCAAAAATACACATGTTAAACCACTAAGTTAACAAACTATAAAAATACTTATAGCCAAAGTTTAATTTTAATTTTAATCAGATTTTTGGGGGAATTAACAATTACCGGTAAATTAAAATTCACTCTGACTTGGAGATATGAGCTCAGTTTGAAGGAGGTTTTTTTAATTCAATAGCTTTTTAAAGCTATTTTGATGAATAAAAATTAAGATGTGGGCTATTTGTTGCTACTGTTTTCTTCCAAGATGTCTCTTCATTTTCCCTCACTAATATTCCCTCAGGATCTGCCACCCAAATATTTTAAGTTTAAGGTGCTTTAGCTTCTGAGTCCAGAAAAAAAATCAGTCAGATGCTGCCACCTTCTGATACTTCAAAACAGTGTGAAACACGCACACAAAAACACAATATTTTTTCAACTGTATTTAATTGTGATAGTTTTATTTTTTTTTACTATTTGACTCTGAAGATTTAAAATAAGGGGGCAGTTTTGTATTTCAAAATGTGTATGGTTCCATATATTTATTGTTATTTAATATGAAATATTCTGAGCTTATAACACTTCAAGAGCTTACCGTGCTTCTTAAAATATATGGTTATTTTAAGGTCGCTATTGGGAAACTGTGGAAAGATTAAAAATTAACCAATTTTACTGTGCTCCAACTGCATTACGTTTGTTGCTGAAGTATGGGGATGAATATGTGAAGAAATATGACAGATCGTCTCTTACTACTCTTGGATCAGGTGAGAATGGACAAGCTAAATTTTATGTCTATTTAAAATCAAAGAGTTTGCTAGTTTGCTGTGGAAGGAGAAGTGAACTTTTTACAGGAAACTTGCAAAGACCATGGAGGTCACTCTCTGTTATTTCTTTATGTTATTCTTTTTTTTATGAAAAGAATTAATAGAGTTGAATAGTGTCAGCTAGTTATCCTTCTCTCAGTTTTTTTCTTACAGTATTGGTCATGCCCAGTTTTTTAAGCAGTCGTCAAGTTAAGTTACTTTATTATCAGTTATAAAATATCCTTAATACTGTAAATATAATTATTTATTGTGCTGTTTGAATTGTAGTGGGGGAACCAATAAATCATGAAGCTTGGCACTGGTACTACAGTGTGGTAGGAGACAAAAGGTGTACCCTTGTGGATACTTGGTGGCAAACAGGTAAATCAACTTGCGAANTGACTCTGTCAGTTGGCTTGGCTCCCCTCCCTTCTGGGGCCTCAATAGGGATCTGCTATGCTGGAAGTGGGTTGATTGATTGAGTGAAAGACAAAAGCCCACCTCCATACCATCAATGGTATTTAATAGTTTATTTAATAGTTTATTTTATTATTTTTAATGTTTTCATGCCATTGTAAGCCACCAAAGTCACTTTGGATAATGAGATGGATGGAAAATAAATGTCATAAAAATATTTAATATTAAACAATGATTGTTTTATATAAAAATTGCCAGTTCAGGTTGAAAGTCTTTTTAATTTTTTTTTTGTAAAGCCATGGTTTGTTGTAATGTAAATCTGCTAGTATCAATTTTGAGTAGGGGTAATAGATAGCCTCCCCTCCCTTCTGGGTATACCGGTATTTAAATATGGAACATGGAGATACTGATGAAGTGCCTTTGTGTATATTATTAAAATAATGGCAACACAAGAAAGAGGGATAGCATAGAATTCTATAGTTGTAGTTAATTTTATAGCTTGGGGGAGGCCTATGCTGAGAGAATAACTGTAGAAACTCTATTCCAATATAGATTTTAGTTAATATGTGATCTTTATTCTAAACTGCAGAGTAAAGCATTTAAATGTTCTTCCTTTGAACATTTTTGTATGTGAACCATGAGTGTTTTAAACTATAAAACAATTTACCTTTAAAAAAGTGTACCACATATAAGGATGATATGCGAATGAAAAAACGTTGTTTTTTCAGTAGAGATTATGGCTTTTATTGCACAGATGCCTTACTATCAGCGATCTAGGTTGAGGGTGGGGACTGCAAAGATGGTAGTGTTAATAATGAGGTTGCAATTGCCATCATGTTTTTGATATCCCTATCCCCCATGGATGTCCCCTCAGTTGTTTTACAATCCTGTAATAGCAGTGACTTTTCCTTAGCTTGGAAAACAGTTCTTCAGTTGATAATCTGTAAATTCATTCATCCATCCTGCCTTCACCTAAGTCTGTCAATGATTATTCCTTTTTTTCAAGGCTAATGTGAAGCTCTTAGAATGGCTTAACAGAGGAATGAACAGTTGGGGTAGGGACTGTTTACCTGGATAACTTTGAAAGGTTCCACAATACTCTGTGTAGACACATTTATTCATATAAGTGAAGGCATAGAAGAAAAACTCAAGGAAGTAGCTATTTAGATATTTAGTTATCTTTATTTAAAGTAATACTACTTACAATGTTTTTTTATTTCTCAAACAGATAGTGAAACGTCTTCCCAAAACTCGATCAGGAAAAATTATGAGAAGATTGTTACAGAGAATAGTGACTGATAATATTAGTGATATGGGAGATATCACAACACTAGATGATTCCAGTGTCATAGAGGAAATACTTGAAACATATAAGAAATATAAACTTAAGCATCCTACTCTATGATGAATGGACTATTGTGAAGATGAGTTCGTTAAGAAGCTGAAGGAACAAAAGCAACATTAGATTTATCCTTGATACATTAAAGAGCTACACTTATTCATGTAAAATCCAATTTTTTTTCCTGAAAAGAATGTGTATTGTAAAAGTTTACCTCTTGCTACATTAAGTTTATATTTTCTTTTCTTTGAAAGCATGGAAAAATAATTTTCAAACTGCTGTTTAAAATATGTTATGCCTTTGTTAAGCAAAGTGTAGAAACTTAAGGAGTACGTTTATATTTAGCCCTAATATTTTTGCCACCAATATATAAAACATTTTTAAAATCAGTCTTACTGTACTCCTTTCTTAATTTTATCTTATCAGATGAACTGAAACTCTCCATAATTTTAAATTATGTGAATTTTTTTTAAAAATCGCACACAATGACCTTTTTTTATACTATAGGAATTTCAATTTACATAATTGAAAGCCAAAATAAACTCAAAACTGTTATCAATACTTATACTTATGTATAACATGGGAAGTTATCTGTTTTACTGCAGTTGGAGAAATTGAATTATTATAATGTTGCACTGGCATATAATTATGAACAGGCATATAGGATTCTTTATTAAACATGTATATTTTTTAGATTTTAATTGGTTTTTTTCATATATTACTCAAGGCAGTAAACATACCACTCCTTTGTCTGCCTATTTTCCCCACACCAAAAACAACGTTGTGTGTGATTTGGGCTGAGAGTGAGTGGTCCAAAGTCACCTAGCTAGTCTTTGATGCCCAAGACTGGTTCACAACCTCCTGCTTTCTAGACCAGCACCTTAACATCAGATTGGCTCTCTTTTATGCATCAAGATATTGCTGATGCATGAGCCTGAGCATGTACTGTACATACAATAAAGAAGAAACAGTTTTCTGAACTCAGTACAAAATATCTGATTAAGGCCTCTAAATTCCGACACCAAACCAATATCAACTACTTTCATGTTGAATTATGTGATGGAATTGAAGAAAAAGGAAGATCTAGTAGAAGAAAGATANAAAAAAAAAACCACTTTAAAGTTTATTGTAAAAAAAAGATTTTTGTAACAGGATTGTCGAAATCTGAAATGTCTTACCTGATTCAGCTGTTTCAGTTACTAACTTTCACAGTTTTAATTTCAACTTAACTTCTGTGGACTTTATCCCATATTTAAGAGGTTCCCAATGGTGTGTGTGTGTAAGTGCACTAATGTGCCTATTGTCCCTGCCCCATGTTAGTTTTTTTCATTTTTTTCATTTTGTTTCTTTAAATTTGTAATTTATTTTATTTATTTAAATAAAAGTAACAGTATAGCCTGAGTTTCAGACATTAAGGTTGCTAAAGATTTTGTTTCATTGATAATTGTTGCATTTTTTCCAAAATAAAATAATTATATGTGTATTTTCTTAACAAATTCTGAATTCGTTCAGTTACACTCATGATATGTATATGTACTGAGTTACACTCGTGCTACAGTATATATACTGAATGTACTGAGAATTTATTTCATTTTGGTTGGAAATCTTCAGTAAAGGAATTGTGTGAAATACGTTTTTTAAAACACAAAACTTTTACAAATAGGAATTTCTCAGCCTTAGATTCTAGATAGGTTTATGATACTGCAAAAAGAAATGCAAGGTATAACTCAAAATAACTAAAATATGATGCTAAATTTAGCTGTAACATAAAAATAGGCCAAAAACGTTGCCTTATCTGATCTTGCTTCCTGTAACTGTACTATCTGTGATAAGATAAGATTAAGATCCTATGTTCCTTTTTTTCTGATAACTTCTGTGTTTTGAGCATCCTTTCTGAATATATTTGTATATAATTTGTTTTTGCTCCTTAAAATCTTGCCTCAAGGGCTACTACTGTATTTAAAGAAATAAGCCTTATTATTCAGAAGTAGTTTCCTTTTCTTTTTCCCAAACTTCCCCCTTTTTTGCTTTATGTCATTCTTGACTTTTCCCCTCCATTCTTTATTGAGCCACAGTTTGTCTCTTTTCTGCTTTTGGCTAGTATGTTTGTATAGTATAAGTTATTCTATGCAGAAAAAGGTGTGGCAAAGAACCAAAATTATTGGACAGTCTTGTGATTATTACTTTTAACTGGTTTCAGCTCTGCTTATTTTCATTTCTTTCCTCCCCCCTTCTTCTTGAGCCAACAGAATCTCTTAAAAAATTGCACCATATTCATATAAGCAAACATTTACTTATAGTTCAAACAATATGAGAAAAACAGTCTGTGATCACATACCATGAGAGAAAATGAAGGAATAGTAACAGGGTCAACAAACAGAGCAAGGTTAATAGAATTTTCCAGAACCTCACATTCCCCAAGGGACCACCTAATTTGCACATATTAATATGGTATTGGCTGTTACAATTAACCCTTCCCTGTACATGTACAGTTGTCTAGCCCAACATGAATAACAATTTGAAGACAGTGCAGCTTAAAAAAAATCAAAATGTGAAAATACAGTTAAGAACAAAACCCGAAACCATAGTATTCTTTAAATATCAAATGGAAGATTGAAATAAATGCTCAGGTTTTTTTAAGCTATCAATCTTGAGATCATACGTATATATCTCCATGAAAAGAAAACTCCAAAAATATGAGTTCACCATGAAAAGTGACAAGGTGATAGAACAAGTAGAATTCTCAGTGTTGATTCTTTGGCCAATTCACACAAGTATAAATGATCTTCAAACTAATATTACACAAACTAGGGTAAATATGCTCAATTGTCAACTTATGAGCTTCATGTTTTAATGTCGCTTTGGGGCCTCTGTCATTACTATTGAATTTAATGGCATGGCAGGATGTCACTTAGTTATAGCAAAGAAACTCTAGGGCAGGCCTGTCAAACTCCAGGCCTGCAGGCCAGATGTGTCAGATACTGGCCATGTCCATGCTCAGTTTAGTGATGGGGGACAAAGTCCCAATTCGCCACATGCCACATGACATAACAATGTGAGTTTGACACCCCTGCTCTAGAGAGAAAAATATGGATGTGTGACAAAAATCTTCTTGTAGAATTTGGCAGGTGTAAGAACATTTCTCTCTTATAAGAAGTGGGTGGA